TTTTTTAAGGAATAATCACACAAAACATTTCTTCCATGTTTTAATTTTAATAGTAAATCCCATTTGTTTGCCAAAAATACAATATTTTATGCTTATTATATATTATATAATATGCTTAATTTTCAATAATTAAAAGATAAATTATAAATTAAATTAATATTGTATGCCTTCATTTGATAACCAGAAAAATGTAAATACACAACACAGAATTTCTGATGGGAAAAAAATTCATAAGGCTACTTTAAGAAAAAAATGATAAAAGAATAAAAGAAAACATTTCATAGGGCCCTAAACATGTAATTTTTGTTAAACTTTTAATAAATTGGTGTGAAAATGTATAATTTTAATGATTTTAATTAATTAGACATGGTTTTTAATTAATAAAATTTAATTTAACTATTAAAAAGGAGTCGAGAAAAATTAAAATGGAAAAAACAGAATTTGGAAAAAAATAAAACAGAATTTAGGAAAAGATAATACTGATTTCATTGGGCCCTAACTATCCCTCAGCTCCCCAGTTTGGCAACCACTGCTTTATTCCTTTAAATTGATACATTAATCGTGTTTATTATATATTTTTTTATTAAAGTGGAAATCAGTTTACTAAATAATGTAAACTTGACTGACTGCTTCACTTCCACTTTAAAGGGATATTTATGTTGTTTATTATTTATTTTTATTTATACTATTTATGATTTTTTTTGTGCAATTACTTGCCTGTCAGTTGAGTTTGTAGCAAAACATTTTGCAGTGTTTACATGTTTATTACTGCATAAAATGGATTAAAATAGATGTTTAATTTCATAAAGTGCAAGTTGATTTCAAAATGCACCTACTTTTCTTGCATTTTGTGTTTTTCAGTTGAATAAAAGACTATTTTCCCTATATATTTCATCATTGAGGATTTCTTTTTGAGGATCAACCCAAATTGGATCAAATCAAGCCAGCTTCCTAACCCAACAGTCTCAACCGAGCATTTGGATTGAAACAATTTCCAGCGTGTTTTATATGTGTAGGCTATAAAAAAAGTACACAGTGTATGTTTTTGCTTAATTGCTTGCAAATATAAGATTGTTAGGTCATACATACCCCGTAATATTAGAATAGGTACCCCTTAGTTTCAAAATACTTACAGTAGAAATAATTTGTAATTTTACAGATTATAACTCATTTATTCCCCAAACTTTGCATATTGTTACTTTATACCTACACGGAGGTACTGAATAGGTACACTGTCATTACAAAAATGTTACGCTGTAAATTCTGTTTACTTACGCAGTACATTGCGGGTTGTAATCTAAAGCGTTACCGTGATTTCTCCTCTCTGTGATTATTTGCCCTGCTTGTGAGAAGACTCTCTCTGAGGGGACCGATGTTGCAACAATGCAGTGTCTTCCTACCTTAACCAACACGCTTGTGTTTAAATCCGGATTCCCCACCTCTCTCTGTCGCTCTGTGTACCTGGCCTTTACCACTACACTCGCTATCTTTGAAGCTTGTGTCAAGTCAAGTCAAGTCACCTTTATTTATATAGCGCTTTTAACAATACAGATTGTGACAAAGCAACTGAACAGCATTAATTAGGAAAATAGTGTCAATAATGCAAAATGACAATAGTAAACACTCATTTTTCAGTTAAAGACAGTTCATCATTGAATTCAGTGATGTCAACATCCAGCTCAGTTTAAATAATATCTTTGCAATCAAGTCAACGATATCGCTGGAAATGAAGGGGCCCCAACTAAGCAAGCCAGAGGCGACAGCGGCAAGGAAACAAAACTCCATCGGTGACAGATTTTTGTTCATTTATTTTAAGTTGTTCTGGTTTAATCACGATCAGATTTTTTCTAGATCCTGCATTAAATTTATATTTTGACCTCACTATTCGGGGAACAGACACAGTCTTTATAGATTGGACAGCGCAAGTACTTCTATCATTTAAGCGGGTAGAACACAAGTCATCAGGGCAGTTATTTGAGATTTGACTTACTAGTCACATGGAGTGCAGCGTCCTGGAGATGTTGTCCGACATGAGCTCCGCCCCGACTCTGCTGGGATGCAGACCATCAGCGCGAAACAGCCTAGGACGCTCCCAGAAAAGATTCCAGTTATTAACAAAGAGCAGTTTCTGTTCTTTACACCATGACAATAACCATTCATTTAAAGCAAAATCCTACTGAACTTTTCGTGTCCTCGTCGATACGTGGGAAGCGGTCCTGACACGATGATCGTCGTCGCGGGCGATGTGCGGCGCACCGTCTCGATCAGGCTCCTGAAGTCCCTCTTCAGCGTCTCCGTCTGCCGCTGCACATATATTACAAAATAATATATTTACATAGTCTGATATCTAAATGTATTTACATAGAAAGGAAATAAATATATGTAAATATTTCCAATAAAAATATATTTACATGTTTAATATATTTGAAAAATATTAAAAAGCAGCCTAAATCAAATATTTAAATATATATTTAAAATATATTTCAAAATATATTTACATATATTGTATAAAATATATTTTCTTCTATTTAAATTGAAGATATTTAAATATATGAAAATGTATTTATTATTAATATATTTCAATATATCTGACTTCTGTATGGGAGAATTTATTTGGATGATAACATATAAAATATTACATACATTACATACACCGTTCTCTGTAATCACCTTTCACCGAAATAGTGCTAATTCTGGTTCCGGCGTGTCGACGAAATCTAAGCCGGTGATGAGATGCCGTGACTGACTCCATAACCTGCCCATAAAAAACAGTACTGAGATTAGAATACATATTTTAACATCAAATTAAATTAAATTCAGTATTATAATGAATAAAATCTATTTGTTATGCAAGGCAAAAGTTCTCTCCATCATGCCAAACGACCGCTGCTGACGCAGCTGACTGACATCTCGTTCTTGTATGTTTCATGGCGTAAAATAATATAATTTACACCAAAGTAAAAACTTTATAAATTAAATAAAATGTATACACACCTTTATTTTGCTGAAGAAGTGCACCAAATTGGCGGCGCTGAGAACCGTTCTCTCCTGTAGAGGAAGCATACCCCGCGCTCTGACTGTAAATAAGCAGTTGGATTATTTCATCGGAGACGGGCTCAACCCAGGAGTTTGGTAGAAAAACCAACCCAATATTTAATAACTAGCTGCTGGATGTCATTTTTAATGAGTTAAGAAAAAACTATACCCGGCATGAGTAAATACTAAAAATAACCCAATAAAATGACCCAACAAGCTGAACCCAGCATTTGGTTTAAAAAAATAACCCAGCATTTTTTAGAGTGCAGAAAAACCACCCAGCACCTGGGCAAAAATATTTAAAACAACCCAATTAAATGACCCAGCAGGCTGAACTCAGCTTAGGTAAAACTATTAATAAATTAACTCAAATATTGATTGAAAATTACTATTGCTGGATTAAAATGAACCAAAAATAATGTAGGTTAGAAATTAAAAAGCAGACACAGAATTACTAGAGGCAACAGTAATTATCAAAAGGTGAACATTTACTAATACTTTAAGTGAAAACACCCATGGATAAAAATATAATTCAAATGGAATTATACTGTTTTCAATATTGCATACAGTTTTATACGTGTAAGAAGCATTTCAGAAATAAAAATATAACATTTAAAAGTAACATTTAATTTATAATATATTTTAGTTTCCAAGGATGGGGTAAAAACAGTGACTTGGATATGTTTGCAGCTCTTGAAATAGTGAAGCACTGTAGACTGATAAAACAAAAATTGAAATACACAAATAACATTTTTCAACTCCAACCAAACACACCTGAACCAGCTTATCAAAGGTGTTCAGTGCTTGATAATTACAGACAGTTGTGTTGGAGCAGGCCTATAAAATGCTGCATGCTACATTATCCAAGACGAACTTCTTTTGCAACTTGAACTGCTCTGTCAGGTCAAAATGAACACTTCTGCCTTTTACAGAAGTAGGATGAGAAACATAAGGAAGGTAACAAAAATAATTTTATTGTTGTTCAATACTAATTAAACAATATTATACTGTTAATGGTTATTTATCATATTACCTACGATGTTTTGGTCATTCCGCTATTGTTTACAGGAATCTTTGGTGGAAAACAGACTCCCGCGCCCTGAAGCCTTAGCAAAAAGGTGAACAAAAGCTAGCACTACGAAGAAGCGCATGGTCACGAAAAAAGCGGTAACTTTTATTTACGTTTTATACCGTGTACAAAATTACCTTACATGGATAGCTTCGAAATGGAGAACCACAAAATTGTATTAACACGTGCTTTCTCCTGTTATAGGCAAATACCCTGTTTACTGTGACTACTAGAGCTCCACTCCAACAGAGACAGACTGTGACGCCGAAACAGCAGTTGTGTGTCTGCAAAAGGCACATGCAGATGAAAAGACGGCTCTTGCTGATCTGATCTCAAAGGGTTAATCGAGATCCACTCGACTGTTGTAACGCAGCTAAGAGAAGCACAGACAGTGGCAACAGAGGTTCTAAGGACACAGTTAAATTGTGCACACACCTCAACCTCAGACTGATTGACTCCTCTTAGTGGGGATGCAGAGAGTAGGGAAACTGCTTATTCTGCCACAACGCCAATTAGAAGCTGCCCTCCCGAACTCCCATTCACTTCTCCAATAGCGGAATGACCAAGAGCTTCTTGAGTCTCTGATGATGGTTTCATTGATGCAGAGTCAGGGGCGAGCAGATCGTTACAGTTGCTTGCTTTTCCGTGCCATGGAACCGCAGGACATTTATAAAGAGTGGGCATCCACAACAAACTGGGATGGTTCCAGAGGTAAATGTGGATTGTCCATGAACTTAAGGCACTTTATAATGATGACAGTTGCCCAGAAATTCCCTCATATGACCAGTAGTGATGGCAAGCGGGTCAAGGACAGGGTGAATGAATTACTTCATTCCCCGAGAAATACTGTTGCCCACTGATGTTTACAGTATTAAATAATTATATTTTTTTCTGTTCAGAATAGATTGTTCTATTCCAATTTTTTTCTTTTGTTAAATTGAACCAATTCTGTTTTAATATATTTTATTTTTTTATAAAAAAAAATTGGTGCTTTCTATTTTAACTTATTTTTACATGGCTAAACATTACACATAGCTTACAGAGCTTTTTTATGTATATTGTGCTTTAATATAGCAAACATTTTGCAACATCTTACACTTTCTGTTTTGAGTTTATTCTGTTTTTATAATTACGACTTTCTTTAAAATCAACCAATTTTGTTTTGTTGAACTTTTAAATAAATGAAACGGATAACCGACATCTAGCCTAATGTTTAGCTCAGTCTAAATTATGAGATCAGTAACTTGTATCTATCTATCTATCTATCTATCTATGTATATATATTTATTTTTTTTAAATAAAATGACTTTCTAACTGTACCCTGCCGTTTCAACCCCAAACCTAACCTTCATTTGTTAGATATCAACTTCTTTCCTTTTGCTATATTCAGCCTTCCATGTATTCTTTCGGTGAATAAAAAACATCAGTTTTGACACCGCAGAGCATTTGGAAACTAATGTTGTGAATCAGGTGTTGTTCTCTGAAATCATTCAGAGAAATGCATCAAATCTGCTATGAGTTCGGCCAATCTGCAAATGTCAGTTTCACAGAAGACTAACATGTACTATCTACATTAAATTACAAAACTCTTGTATTGACCAATTCATGTTTCGTTTATCATAGTTTTGCACCGATTTCCCCAACCATCCACACGACAAACTCATCCTGTACGAATCGCAAGACACAGCAAATCACACAGGGAATAAAACACTGAATCCATATGAAATTTGCAATAATATGTTTAACTATCCCCAGACTTTAGACTTACAAAAAATAAATAAATCCATAAAAATATGTGGAGACTATTGATGTTTTTACCGTAAAAGTAATGGACAATGCCCAGGCAGAAAATGACCAGTACTTTTTCAGTTAGCTGTCTCTTTCTCTTTCTCTCTCCCCCTAACCTCTCTCCTTTTTTTATAAATTAATTAATTACAAATTTTTTACAGTGTACATTTAAAATACAGGCCAGTCCTCTGGCCGAACTTCACATTTCCACTTTATTGAGCAAACGTTTTAACCGTCCCTTTGCACCACCTGGTGGTGATTTCACGAATGAGTTTCACATGTGACTGATATGTATTTGCTGCTGTGGCATTACCGCAACGGTAAGCGCGGCAGTAATAGTCATTCTGGTTGACTACCTACTGTATATTAATTACATTATATCAAGTTTTTATATATAAAACCATGTACAGGTATGCAGTCATGGATAAAGAGGGAACAGGATTGGGCTCAGCACACAGCCCTGTGTTACACCAGTGTTCAGAGTGAGGGTGGAAGAATTATGGTTGTTCAGTCTAACAGACTGTGGTCTGTTAGTGAGAAAAGCTAGGTCTGAATGCTGAGGGAAGTGCAAAAATCACTGAGCTTTGATGGGATGACAGTGTTGAAGGCAGAATTTAGTTCTATTTGGCTGTAAAGTAGCTTTAAAAAGACAGTAGTAACTGAACTCCATCTGTGACAAAAATGGTGTTGCTACTGTCCTAGTGAGTTAGAGCTGAGTGGAGAGGTGAGGTGATGGCGTCCTCAGTTGCCCTGCTGGGTCTGTACGCAAACTGGCATAGGTCCAATGTTGGGGGAGGGCATGTTTTCAGGTGAGAGAGCACCGAATAATGGGAGTAAGAGTAACAGGGCAGAAGTAGCTTTATAGCCCTGTTTGTATAAACATGATCAAGGATGTTGTATCCTCTTGGATTTGGAGAATGCTGTCCTCAAATTACTGTGATTAAAGTCACCAGCAAAGACAAAGGATCCATTTGGATACTGTTGTTTGCAAATTGCTTATAACTGTTTAATTTGTATCTTTGTTCTATTTATTTATTTGTGCTGATGCTTGTAATTTGTTTATTAGTACTTATTTGATTTGTCTTTAATAATGATCAAAATTGATGTTTGTCAGGTTTGTAATGTTGCTGTTGTAATAAAAAATGGAATCTAGAATTGTGACATTTTACTGGCATCTAAAGAGTTGGTGTCAAGCTTATTTATTATAATACTACATAACATAACTGTGTTGTAAATATTGTAGTGACATAAATAACTATTTTATAAGACATTAACTTTTTTTAATGAAATCTAAGGTTACTAAATTAATACAAGATCTGTGGGGTAAAAAATAAAATAATATTAAAAATAAACAAAATAGAGAATGTAAAAATAAAAATGCAATATATACCCACCATACCCCTGGCCCATCTGGAATGTCACTTGGCCCACACTTCCTCTCACGTGGAGCCGGGCCTGTTTTTGTTTTTTTACATTATAAAAAAAAATATATATATATATGTTATAGATTTACGTACCAAATGAAAAATATTATAATTTCCAAATATTTTTTGAGACAAACTCTTGTTATATGAATATGTAAAAGTATCTTATTTGGGTTAAAAGAGCCTCTGCTGTTGCAGCTAAAGGCACAATAATTGACATGATACTACGTTTTGGTATTTTGTTTTTATATTTCTCATATATTGCACAAAACATATTATTTTAGCTGAAGTGTTTGTATGAGCCAAGTGTGGAGTAAAAGGCTGCCCTCGCTATCTCATACAGTTATATAATTTCTAAACAAAACTAGTTTATGTATTTTTTTTCTGATGGAACACTGACGGTGTAATTTGATTTTCTGCAATCAAAGGAGTAGTGAAAGGCACATTTAGGCGTGCCTTTAACCATGTTGTACCTGTATTCAAACAGCACAACAGTTATACAGCTCATGTATGTGGATTCATTAATTCTCTGTGATGTTGTTGGTAAGCCGTGAACCGGAGTGTAAGTCCTCCTCCCGAGCTGACTGGATTACCAGCGTAGGATTGTTATTCTCCTGCAGCTGTCCTGAGCTCCAGTGCTCGCTGATAATCTCACGCTCCTCAGCCGCTGTCCTCAATAATATCGATTGTTTAAAGGGGTCATATGATGCGATTTCAATTGTTCCTTTCTCTTTGGAGTGTTACAAGCTCTTGGTGCATAAAGAAGATCTGTAAAGTTGCAAAGACTAAAGTCTCAAATCCAAAGAGATATTCTTTATAAAAGTTAAGAGTCAGCCACGCTTACCTAAAACGCCTCGTTCTAACATGCCCCCACATGTCTACATCACTATGTGGGAAGATTTGCATAACGCCGCCCAAATGTTCACGCAAAGAAAGAAGGCTTAACTTTTATTCTCGCTGTAGTATTGTTGTTGCTGCTGCCATGTCGTGAACACGCTGTGTGTTTCGTTGTGAAAGCGAAACTACTTTGTTTGGTCTTCCAAAAGAGGACGATATCTGCTTTGTTATGCCTAGAGCTGATCCGTGCTGGTTGCTGGGGAAATACTACAACTTTGCGCTGTGGATCGCCAGATCGACTTTCACCGTGGATGAAGCGGAGTCCAGCCCGGGGTTATGTAGTAAACCATCAAATGGTCCATTTGGAGACTCCTACAAATGTGTTTCTCCATATTTTGTGTTTATCTTTTTTCTTCATGCTGTGTAAAATTTGAATATTCTTTTCTTTATAATATGTGGAATTTTAGTTGCACTTATGATTTTTCACGATCATCATTATGTGGTAATGTGACAATTAAGTGATTTGATTTGATTTGATCATAAAGGCTTCTACTGTAAGTTAAAGGCTTATATTCTAACAGCAACTCTTACTTTACATGAGAAAAAAAGCAACATTTGCATTTTCAATGAGTCTGCCCACCATTGCTCAGATATTTTACCTTTAGTACAAGTATAATTTTACTATTTACTTGTATTCCATTTTTTATATTTCGGTTAACTATTTGTAAGATTTTAGAAAGGCAACTTTACCTAAAACAATGGCTTCAACACTGGCAAACAGCTTGTTTTCTCTATTGATTACAATCTTTCCTGACATCACCTGAAAGCAAAAGCAGGGCAAGTTATAACATTTTGTTATTACATATCTGTCTGGATTCTGACTGCTCAGTTGCAGCATTGAGTGCTCAGATGTTTCCTAACATTGTTGTCCATGTCAACGCTCATCCAGGAAAATGAAACCATTTTGTGTCTCATATCACACCTCGAATTTGCTCTCTTATATTACACACAGCTGACACCATCCTGTTACTGATACTGACTGTATTCCTATAGTTCCTATAACTGAGCTTTTCCCTGCTGAGAAAGCTCTGAAAATGACCTCTGAGAACTTTAATGTAACTGTAATAAAGGTGCAGTGTTATCTTTGTTGCAATACTGATTGTTTTGTATGTTTTCCTCAACAGAAGCTTTAAAAGAATATATAGTAAATTA